ATTTTTTTAAGTAATTAATTTTAGATAAATTTTTTCAATCGAGACGTTTGAAAGATATCTTTCAGCTTCTTCATCTTGCACTGTTGGGCTAAAATCATCTTTCTTGATATTCTTCCAGGCTTGTTTAAATCGTTTGAAAATAGCAACATCTGGTCCGGACGTTGTTGGAAAATAAATTTTAAACACAGATCCTGCAACAATTTCAGTAATGTGATGACGACAAGCTAAATTCAATAATTCTTTTCCTAATTTTTCTTCAAGTAAATTACAAGCACCTTTCTCAGATCCTGTATTGCTAGCTGTGGTATCAAACGACATGCCACAGAGATTATTAATAAGATTCGAAGCGTCCCATTCATGGAGGGAGGCTACAACTGCAGTACCAATGCCTTCTCCTCTTGAATCAGGAAGTTTTGGCACTCCCAGAAGTTTTTCAACACCACGCCCTGTTACTAAAACTGACAAACGCTCAACATTTCCATTTCCAGAGATGTCTGCCATCATTTTCCCATCCCAATGAACTACGAGAGGTACATCCGGTTTGAAATTTTCTTTTGTTTCATTGTAATGAGTTTCACGATAAACAGTTCTTGCCCTATGAAAAGTAGTTACAGATATAGAGAACTCTTCAATGGGAGCTCCTAAACTTTGCATTGTAGCTGCTATAGTTTGCATTGCCACACGATTGCTTATTTTTTCTCTATCTAAGGAAGCGACAACTTCAGGGGTAATAGTTTTTTTTATAGAACGCTTCCTTTTCAGATCGGAGCTTTCTGCAACATCATCTTTTCCTTTCAAAACTACGATATCATCATGATCGCTACTAGCAGAACTCGAAGGCGAAGGTGAATTCTCAAGAACAACTACTTCTTCAGAGCGTTGTATTAATCGTTATATTAAAAAGTTTCATAATTCTCTTTTCAAAGTCTGTTACTTTGCTTCTAACAACAGCTGATTTCTTATTTCTGTCTTTTAATAGATCCGTATATTCTTTATGAAATTTTTCAAGCCTTGTAACTGCATTATCCTTTCGAATTGTAGGTTTTTTAGCTTTTTCTTAAATTTCACAAGTTGATTTGATAACTGTTACCGAACTTTCATGTTTACTCAATCCTTTCACCTCATGGTGGAAGAAAAAACATTTTAATACTTCCAAAATCGTTGGAAGCTTAAGATGGGAAAGCATTGATATTGGTTGACTAATTAACCATTTCGCTGTAGAACTGCGTGTTGACTTTGCGACTGCAGCCATTTTAAATTTTCTTTAATACAGTGTATGAATGAAAATATATTTTGTTGTCACCTATATTTCCAAACAAAATTAGTTTCGTTGAAACTCGCAATTATATCACTTTCTTAAAATACTCTAATTTATATTATTAGTCAAGCAAAATAGATAAACTATTGTAATTTTATTTCAGGAATCACAACACTCTCGATAAAGTCTCGAACTGAACTAAACCAAATAATAAACCAATATAATAAAATATAATGAAATTTGGCTTAGTTAGCAATTCATTTTGCCGCTTTAATATGCATTTAAAAAGGAAATGTTATTTAACAAAAATTAATATGCGTAATAAGAGCTTTATTTTCGTTTTTATTTTATTAAAATCAAACGGTAAATAACCAAAATGTGCACAGAAAAAGAAGGTCAATATTTTACTGAACTTTTGAAAATTCCAATTTTAGAGGGGTGTAAAGATCGCCCCAGCGCGACCTCTAAATATTAACCGATTTGGCTGATTTTTTTGGTACAATATTTTCTTTAATAAATGAAGACATTTAGACCTTAGGAATAACAAAAAGTAAAAAAAAAATTTTTTTGGTCATTTTTGGATCACCCTAATATATATATATATATATATATATATATATATATATATATATATATATATATATATATATATATATATTATATATATATATATATATATATATATATATATATATATATATATATATATATATATATATATATATATATAGATGTAAAATAGTATAAATAAGACAACTTACAGGCGCAAATCTCAACGTGGATTATGGAATGCAACTTCTATGGAAGAAGCAATTTTGATGGTAAAAAATGGTAGCCTGTCTTTAAGTGAAGCCAGCAAACAGTATGATATACCAAGACAATCTCTCTTTCGGCGTGTTAAAAATCTTATTAAGTTTGCCACAGGCTCAATAAAGCATTTGGGCAGGTTTTGTAAAACTTTCAATGAAGAATCAGATAAAAAGTTATTGATATATATAAAAACAATGGAGGAAAGATTTTTTAAGTAAACGTTAATGGATGTACGATGCTTAGCTTATCAGCTTGCTGATAAGCTAAGCATTGTACAATCATTAACGTTAGGTTCAACAAAGAAAAAAAATCTACAGGCAAAAATGGTTTTATGCATTTATTAAACGTCATAGTAATATCACCTTACACACACCTGAAGCTACTTCTTATGCACGAGCAAGTGAATTTAATCGTCCCTCTTTTGATAAATTTTTCAAATTACTAAATGGCTTGCTGACCAAACATAATTTAGATCCAAGTAGAATATATAATTGTGATGAATATGGTATGAAAACTGTTCAGCAGCAATTGTCAAAAGTCCTTGCTAAAAAAGGAAAGCATCAAGTTTGAAGTCTTACCAGTGCAGAGCGTGGTAAAAATGTCACTGTTGTTTGTGCAGTTAATGCAGTGGGAAAATATATACCTCCTTTTTTTATCTTTCAAAGAAAAATAATGAGTCCTATTTTTTTTGGACAACGCACCAGCAGTGTCTGTTGGGTTTGCACAAGAAAAAGGATGGATCAATATGAAACTATTCCATTTGTATCTTGTACATTTTGTAAAGTTTACAAATAAAACAAATAAAAAACCTATACTTTTAATTCTAGATGGGCATCCCTCGCACACAAAATGTGTTAAAGTGTTAGATTATGCAACACAATTAGGAATTATAATGCTATCTTTTCCTCCTCATACAACACGCTGTCTGCAACCGTTAGATGTAGCTTTCTTCAAGCCTTTACAAACTTATTATGATCAGTTTATATAAACATGGTTAAAAACCCATCCAGGACGTGTATTCTCAAAATTTTAAGTGTGTGAAGCTTTCTCACAAGCATATGGCAATGCTGCAACAATTAGAACTGCTCTTAATGGTTTCGAAAAATGTGGTATCTGGCCTTATATTCCTCAAGTGTTTGCAGACTATGAATTTACCCCATCAATAACAACAGATAGACCAATTGACCAAGTGGCAGGTAATGATTTAACACCTTCTGATATTGATGTGATAAACAACAACAATGAATTTCAAAATGTTCAAGTCACATTAACTAGTATATCAGAAACCTGCAACTCATCAGAAGTTCTAACTAATGTTTTGCATGTTGTACCATCTGATACTTCATGCTGTATGTTGTTTTTATTATTTAGTTTTTTTTATCTTTATCAAACTTTTTATTATTAAACATAAAAGATTGTCTTTATAGTGTAACTTAAGGATATATATTTTATTATTATTATTTTGTTATCTCTGCATCTTTTTTATGAATTTATTTAGGTACAAGGTTGGCTGTTGCTGACATCTTGTGCCAGCAGCACCAATTTAAAATAAACAGGGTTTTAAAAGAAAAAGTGAAGATTCACAAATATTAACATCAACTCCACATAAATAAAGGTTAATTGAAAAGCGAATTGAAAAAGAAAAAAAGAGTTACAGAAAAAAAGTCTGGTACAATAAATACAGTTTGAGTTACAAAAAAAATGCAGAAAAAGAGTTATCCATAATAATAACTCTTATGAATTTTAAAATGTTCATTCAACTCAAGCCTCATCACTTACTATATCATAAACCAGCAACTCATCTAAAGTTCTAACTAATGCAAAAACTGTACCTCGTGCAAACCATGGTCATTGCAATAAGTTAAGTTGCACATTTTTAACATTTGTTAAATAACTTAGTTTTTTTTCTTTATCGGACACTTTATTATTAAACATAAACAAGTGTCTACATAGTGCAACATATGGTTATGTTATTATAAACATTTCGCATTTTTTATTATTCTTAGGTACAGGGTGTGCTGTTGTTGAAATCTTGTCACTTCCATCACCCCCAGTTAAAAAAACTGTTAAACGAGTTAATACAAGATATGTAACTTGTTTAACTGTTAAAAAAACAGTTAAACGAGTTAATACAAGATGTGAAGGCTACAAATATTAACATTAACCCCAAACAAAGTTACAAAAAAAAAAAAAAAAAAAAGACACGTAAAAAAAGTATAGCAAAAACAGTAAAAAGCTGCAACAAAAGAATTATCAACAACAATAATGCTCCCTGCATGGCATGTAGAAAATAAATTGATGCATTGCCTCATAATAAGAGACTTCAGTGCTTTGATTGTAGGGGATGGCTACACGAAAACTGTGGAGCTTTTATTAGCATTTGTTTTAAATGTTTGTCAAATGACTCTAAATAACTCTAAGTAGTCAGTTGGCCAGTGATTAATAATCTTTATTTTGTGTTTTTTTTTCCTTTTTTAATAATTAATATTGATAAATAATTTCATTGGTATTCATATGTAGAAGTTTTATTGATATAAATATATATATTGTAACATTGATATAATTTTATAATATTATAATATATGTAAAAATTTAATTTAGTTTCTTTCAATCCCTAGCAACTTGTTTTTTTATTTTCTATTTGTCCGCTATTTAAAATTTAAAATAATATTTGTAAGGTAACTTACAGTCACACGTGTTGCATTAAAATAAAAGATGAGACGAGTGGGTGTGTTGAAAATAAAGCAATTTTTGGTATGCATTTTTAATTTTAACAATTCCTTGATATTTTTTAGAGAAAAAACTAAATTATGATAATCTTGAAAAAAATCTTTTATGATATTTTGACAAAAAATAACATAACACTAAAAATCTGCTCAACTTTTGCAACCCGTCCGTCAATTTTCACGTCACATATATAAAAAACAATTTATTTAGATAATTAACGCAATGAAAATAGTGTATTTAAATCATTTACAATTCGTTTTAAAATAACGTTCTTTTGTTGATCTTTTTGTTTTTTTTTATATTCTTCTTCTATTGCTGATATATCTTTCCATATATTATCATGTAATTTGTTCTTTAGAATCCAAGGAATCCATTCAGCTTTATCTGGCGTTTCTTTTTTCCGATACTTCAAAGTCTTACTTTGTATTTGCTGACGTATTGTTTTCAACAAATTTTCCCAATTTTCTGGGTGAAGAAGCATTTCATTGTTTTTAGAAGAAGAAGGCATAAAATTTTTATCTTCTTTTTCAAACTCTGCTAAAAAACGATCAAAGTCTTTAGTCTTTACTTCTTCAGCATTTTTTGATTCTTCATCCTTTTGAATCTTATTAGGGATATAGTTTTCTAAAAGTGATACAAGTTTTGAAAGTATCCACTTATCTCTATAATAATCAGTATTGAATGTTGGTGATGGCTGGTTTCCTTCTACCTCGGGATTAATTTTTATATATGTCTTTGGTGTAGCGGCAACCGCTTCGTCAGATTGCTCAATGTTGCCACCAAATTTATTCCCATAAGTTAACTCCCTATTTTCTTCACTTACACTGTTAAGACTTTTAGTAATTTCCTCAATCATATCAATCACTATGAGTAAATAAAAATAGCATTTACAATAGTAGTAAATATATATATATATATATATATATATATATATATATATATATATATATATATATATATATATATATATATATATATATATATATATATATATATATATATATATATATAAATATATATATATATATATATATATATATATATATATATATATATATATATGTATATATATATATATAATGTATATACATATATAAAAATAGCATTTGCAATAGTAGTAAATATATATATATATATATATATATATATATATATATATATATATATATATATATATATATATATATATATATATATATATATATATATATATATATATATATATATATATATATATATATATATATATATATATATATATATATATATATATATATATATAAATATATATATATAATATATATATATATATATATATATATATATATATATATATATATATATATATATATATATATATATATATATATATATATATATATATATATATATATATATATATATATATATATATAATGTATTTATAAAATGTCTCGGAGTTAAAACCTAATTTTAATTCTTTTTTGAAAACAATATAAACTTTTTTTGTAATATATTACTCAAAATTAAAGTCTTTTGTTAATGATCATTATTTTGCCATTGTCTAGTTTTTGTCCGGTTTGAGTATTAAATTCTAAAGCTGTAAAAAGTAATTTTTACATCTTCAGAGTTTTAACTCTTAGGATGTAAAATTCGTGTGATTTTGCTGAATTTTTCGATGAAATTGTTTTAAAGTTATTATCAGGTTTATTTTGATTAAATCTGATTAAAATATCACAATATATATAAATATCACACAATATGCAATATATATGTAGAAAAAGTTTCTAGTTTAAATATGTTACAACAAAAAATAACAAAAAAGAAACAATAGAAATAATTTTAAATAGAAACAAAATTTTTAAGTTATTAGAACATTTTATCGTTTTCACAAATGCGGACTTTTCGCAAACATGCAGCACACTTAAAAAATGGTTGTATATTTTTAGGAAATATAGAATGTACACATTTTATCACAGAACCTAAACACTCGAAAGTTAAACTATTTAAAATCTTTAATTTAAATTAAAACAAGTAAATTAATTGTAACTTTAAAATAATTGCTATTGTTAAACAAATTTGCTGTAATTTAATTAAAGTTAAATTATTTTGGCGATGACCAAACTTTACCTTTATTTTGTCCAGTGAATTGTATTACTGTTGTTACCACCATTATTTTAAACATAACTTCTACATGCATTTTACTTCCTATAAATGTTTCAAAACATAAGAAACATAAAACAATATATATATATATATATATATATATATATATATATATATATATATATATATATATATATATATATATATATATATATATATATATATATGTACGAATGTATGTGTAAATGTATGTATGCATGTATGTATAGATGAATGAATGTATGTCTAAAATTTATAATAAAAATTATTGTCGTTAGCTTTCATTGAAAATTTTTATTTACATAAATCTGAATTATTCAGAATATACTCAAGAATTTAACCACTAACATCCGATTTTATCGTTCACAGTTTTCTACTAATTCAAAAATTAGTAAAAAATCTTATTATCACTGTAGTTAAAATAGTAACACAGGTAGGAGGAACTATTAAAACACACTTTTTATAATGTATTGAAAGGATTTCTTTAAAAAAAGACTCATCTTCTATGAATTTAAACCTTATAACAGTTAGCTGCCTAAACATTAGGTCTACGGTTTATAAATGGATATCCGAAACACGCAGTAAAACAGTACGATAACACCACTCATTTCATTATTATTACGTTAATGTCGTGGGTTGTTTCAAGTGTTTTGTAATTATCTCTTTGTACTGTTAATAGCTAAGATTGTAATAACACAATAAGAAATAAAAATTTTTTTATCTGACGTCGTGTAAAAATATTGGAGTGAAATCACAAAACAATAATGGTGTTTCAATTCTTTATTATAGAATCCAGAACAGCTGCATCTTTTAAAAATTTTCCTTCAATGATTTTATAATCCTAAAAGACTTTTTTAATAAACATTTTGATATAAGAAACAAAATATTTTGACATAAAAAAGTTGCACAAGTAATAACGCTTATAACAACCTTGTGATAATATTCGAATGACTTTACAAAGAAAAAAATGTCTTCGTCGGATTAAAAAAAAATCTATTTAATGATAAAATTTAATTACGCTAATCGTTTATGAAAGAATTTTTTATAATTCAACCTTTAAAACCTTTTTAAAAAAAAATAACAATAATTCTACTTAAAACAAAAAATCTTATACTTTATCCATAACTATTAAGCTATTATATCATTATTTTCCAAACGTATGTATCATAATTTTGTTTTCGTCATCAAAAATGAACTTTTTTATAGATTAAAAATAAAGTATTTTATTTAAGTCAGATAAAATTCTTTGTAGAAAATTATGTTTCTAAAAAATCAAGCTCATATTAATTTTACTGTTCACCATCATGCAACGAACGCTTTATGGACCCAACCAACAACATCCTAGATTGACCATGTAATTACTTTTCAAAAACTGCTACTCCTAACATATCAGTATTATATGATGTTGTGTCGTCTGATCATTGACCTCTACAAATCTGCCTCACTTTTAATTTAATTTTGTCCAGTATGACCAACAGTCCAAAAATAAATAATGACACACTACATGCATGAAGTGATTTGGCCAGGTGCTCACAGTCTGATGTTAACAACTGTTCGAACTATAAAAAACATTTTTTAAATTCTGTGCAACAACCTCAGCTATGTGGTGCAAAATATTGTCCCATAGCAGAGCACAAAATTGATATTAAAACCTTTTTTTGTTTGTGTATCTAACAAGCTATGTCTACTTTTATCCGGCAAAAGCAATTTATTATAAATGAAATATGCATCATTGTTGGATGGTCTGACTTTGTTGCAGATAAATATGCAGCTGCCAGACAGTGTTTTTGTGAATAGTTTATAAATGGCAAGCCACGAAACTTAAAAATGGCAAGTCACAATCATGAAGTAATAAAACGTAGACGTGTGCAATTTAAATATTCATTGAGATACTGCAAAAATTATCAAAAAATGTTCCACAATGACGTACTAGCAAAATATTTTTTAAACAAAAATAAAATAAAATAATTTCTTGAAAAATATAAAAAAGATGTCCAGTAGTAATATGACATGTAATACCACCACTTTAAGTTGTGTAACGAGTGATGAAACAGTTGCTAATATGCGGAGATACTCTTTTAAGAAATTTTTACAATAAACATAATAGTTCTAACAATAAACATAATAGTTCTAACAATAAACATAATAGCTCTAACATAATAGAAATTTTTACAATAAACATAATAGTTCTAACAATAAACATAATAGTTCTAACAATAAACATAATAGTTCTAACATAATGGTTCTAACTGAACTTTTAAAGAATAAATGCAAGGTAACTGATAATAAGCCTTAAATGCAAGGCAAACTGATAGCAACAGGGGTATTAGTTCATTCCGTAAAAACTATTAAAAATGCCCTACGATTTTCATATAACCAATTCAGAAGTTTAAATGTAACAGTACATTAGGATAGAATCCTGTCTACCACCTGATATTAACCAGGTTAAATATTAAGTAGTAGACAGTATTCTTGAATTTCTGCCCAAGTTGATGCTTTTCTAAATATGTCAGGCCTATAAAAATGATAAATGCATAATGTATATATTAAAAAGCATGTGCATCGCATGGTTGCCTTGTAATTCCAAAAGTTTTTTTTTTGTTATTTTGTTATTTAGGGGCACCTAAATAACAACTTTTATATAACAATAAAAACTTTTGGAATTACAAGGCAACCATGCGATGCACATGCTTTTTAATATATACATTATGCATTTATCATTTTTATAGGCCTGACATATTTAGAAAAGCATCAACTTGGGCAGAAATTCAAGAATACTGTCTACTACTTAATATTTAACCTGGTTAATATCAGGTGGTAGACAGGATTCTAAGTTTATTTATTCTTATCTTATTCTAAGTTTAAGACCTAACAGTCTTTTATTCTTATCTTATTCTAAGTTTAAGACCTAACAGTCTTGTCACAGAGCACCGTGGAAATATATTTAACAAAGAAGTTCACGCCTTCTTACCGTAAAAATATGCCCAGAGTTCGTTTCAAACCTGGATCTTCTGCTTAAAAAGCAAGCGCTCTAACCATTGCGCCACGGACTACTTAGAGATAATCACAAATGATTGTTTGAATGATTAAGATTTAAAAAACAAATTGCCAGTGAATTTTTACATATAAGCGAAAGGTATTTTGAAAAACACAAACTTTATAAAAATAAGCTAGTTTTTCACATATTGTCGGAGCATAAATTCAAACGCCACATAACAAAGCAGCATTCAAATAGTGTCTCTTTAACACAGCAAATAAATACATAAACTTTTATTAAGCAAACGTGTTCTACAACTAAGTTCATGAATTTTGTTTAAAAAGAGATTCTTATTGTTACAAACGATCTTTGTTGCAACGTGTTCTGCAACGTGTTCTACAAATAAGTTTATCAATTTTGTTTTAAAAACATTCTTACTGTTATAAACGAACTTTGCTACCTTCCATATCTCAGAGATGAGCTTTCAAAGTACGTATTTTTAGAAGATGATACGAAGCTATCATTCAAGTTTATAAAATAATTTGTAAAATTTATTTATAGTAAAGTTGAAGTTTTTGTATCCAAAATTTATAGTTGCAGATCAGACAGGATTTTTCTCAGAGATCCTCACCTCTTGTTTGATATAACTTTCCTAATCATATTTAGAAAACAGAAAAAGAACAAAATTTAGTTTAATATTTTGTTGGATACGTATTTAGTACTTTTTATCATTGAATACGTTGTTCAAAAAGTTGACAAAGTTGACTTAATTGTAGGCTGGAAAAGATGTAGAATAAATGAAATTTTTTTTGAAGAAGTGTAATTATATTACTAGTAAAAAATGCAATAATTCAAAAAATGATTTTTGGTCTGTATTATCTGATGTTTTTTTTAATATTAGCAGAATGAGCATTCAGAAAATTAACCAAAGGTTTATGTAAAAATAAGCGGCTAATTAATGGAAAAACTGCTTTAAGATGCTGAGGTTTATCTTATTTTTCAAAAAACTTGTTATTTTAATTTGACCGAGATGTTTAAAGAAGTGTCTATCAATTTTCTAGACCATCTTTTACCACTTGATTTTTGAGTTTCATTATCCTTTTCAAAGGGGTTGATCATATTTATTTAACTATTAACAATTTTTTAATTTTAAATGTAATATTTTGGTTCATATAGTTGGAGCCATTTTCAAACTAAAATACGTTACAAAAAATTCGTTGTTTACAATATGTCATTGCTGCGTAATATTATAAAAATTTTTCTTAAATTTAACAAAAAATGGTTTCCAATGGTGAGTCGTCACTAGGTCGCCATTATCTCGGTTTAGAACTTTATTTTTTAGATAGCATCATTGGAATCTGTCTATTTCAATTGCCTCTCTGATTTTTCTTGTATATTTATTTGGGATGACTGAAACTGTTTTAGGATTATTCCAATTAATTATACCTTTGCAATGTTGTGCATGTTCTTCAATTCCAGACGCTTTCCAGTTCGCTTTAGTCACGTTTTTTGATGTTCAGCTATTCATATTTTTATCTTTTTTCTGGTTTCGCTTCCATAAAAAGCGCCACATGTACATTCAAGTTGGTAAACGCCCGGATAACGATTTGGTGGTAGCTTTGATTTATTTTGGCATAACATGTTTGATAAAGATCTTCTAAAACAAAAAACTATTTTCATGCCAACTTTTTGAAACTCAGGTTTAAGAATAAGGCTAAATTTAGAAACTTACGGAAGTATTATAATATTGTTTGTGTTAATTTGTTGGCGGTTTTTTGTTTGGGATGGTTTGTAATCTTTTACAATGTCTAGAAGTTGTTGTTGAGAATATCCATTTTCCATAAAAATATTAATTAGAAACTCAATTTCTTTTTCTATATTATCACTAATAATATAGAAAAAGATATTGATCCCACTAATCAATTTCTTTGTCTTATTCAACGAACACTAAGTAAATTAAAAAAAGATAAAGAAATAGACAATAAAATATACAACAGTATTTATCCTTCTGATGCTATATCACCTCAATTATACGGCTGCATTAAAGCTCATAAAAGTGATAAAGATTACCCAATGCGAATTATAGCCTCAACTGTTGGTACACCCCAACATAAATTATCGTAGCATCTTGTTCAGCTTATACAACCTACGCTTCACAAAAACTTTTGTAGAGTAAAAAATTCATAATTTTTTGTCTTGGAGGCAAAAGAATGGACAATTAAAAAAAATGAGGTTCAAGCATCATTTAACGTAATAAATTTGTATCCATCTGTAACACTCGATAAAGCAATTTTAGTTATTATTGATGTTTTATATAACGATAAAGATGATTTTCAGCTGCGCAATAAATTGAACCCGTCATTTCAAAAAGGGCACAAGTCCATTATTCGAACTTTTCAGGATCAGCAAAAATAAGTTTATTAGAAAAAAAGTCTATGGTGCTAAAGAAACTAAAGATAAGAGTAGATAAATAAAAGTCATACATAAGGTTTTAGAGTTTTATTTATTATAAAAAAATAATATATAACACTTATATTT